GTCTCATCTGTTGACTTTTTTTTGTTCAACGAATTATGCACTCATTACTCGCAGCTTCTTGCTGTTATCGAGGTAATTTGTTCCCGGAGATTTGGCAACTCTTCGAAGGGTATTGTTGGCCGACTCACCACAATTGACGGCTGCAACTTGTCCAATGGAGCCACAGTGCGTTAAATGGGATTAACGCCAACTACCCTGTATATGTATGACCGTATCAAAGCTTTAACTTCAAAGATTTTGGACAAAAAGTACACGAACTTCCCGACTACAGGCTCTTGTCGATTTCCTAAAATCAATCGGGTTTTTATATTTCTTTTACAGACTACACTGTTTTTATTGTTTTCCATTTCAATCCTCCAAGACACCCACAAAAATTGTTATTCTTTTTCTTAAATCCTAAAACAAAATAGAGATAAAATTCGAGAGACAAAATAAACCTCTTGAGGGAGAAATGAGCGTTCAGTTAGGGTGCTTGATAACATTCATTTGCTTGGATGAGTACATGGAATGCTGTCAATGGGTCCCAAGCATCTAATCAGAGGCAAATTTAACAAAACGTATTTTTCGACTTTTTTCTTTCTTAATTGAAAAACCAAAAAACATCGAATGCAACTTTATGTGAAATAGAAGCCGCGGCAAAGGCATATGCTAAAAAGTAAGGCAAAGTTCAAGAGACAAATCTGTTATTAAATTGAGGAATTATCTAAAGGATAATGGGTTCCTGGCTGTGTCTTTTGATAAGCGGGTTGGTTTTTGCAGAGAGAGGAAGTAAACGTATGAATCAAGGCTGAATTTTTTGTTGCAATTTTGATAAAAAAACAGAGGCAATTGAAAAACTCTCCCTTCCAAAATCTTTAAACAACTAAAAAGCTTCATGGGTTCTATACACCACCTCACCAGGTGTATCCCAAATTTAGCACAAACAGCAGCAGCATTGAGGCCACTGTTGAAAAACACACTGAAAGATAAACCAAATAATTGGAAACCGGGACACAATACATCATTTGAAGACATTAAAAAACTAGTCTCTGAAATAACACGTAAAACAAACATTTGGACCAACATCTAGAGACACGTATAGTAACTGATGCTTCTACTTCAGGATTAGGGGCGTCGCTTGAACAATATTCACCAGAAGGTTGGTTGGCAATAGCCTATGCATCAAGATTTTTAAAGTCCCTCGAGGAAAAGTATTCAGTCAATAAGCTCCAATTACTCGGTGTAATGTGGGAAATTGAACACTACAAATACTATCTGTACGGAAAACATTTCACCGTCATCACAGACCATCAAGCTTTGATCAGCGCCTTAAACGCAAGCGAAAGATCAAAAACCAGTCAAAGTAGATTAATCAGATGGATTGATCGACAAATTCCATTTCACTTCGATATCAAACATTTAGCCGGTAACAAAATGGGGCTAATAGACTACATGTGACAAAATCCAGTTGGATTGGCAATACCCCCAAGCGAGTATGATGAGGAATTTGTTGTTGCATCAACTAATACATTCAAAAATAACTTGGAGGTGATTGACAGCGTCATTCCTAATGAGTTAGCCAATCAGAATCTGGCACCATGTCAGCTGATCAAAAAGCGCGCGGAATATACAAGGACAAAAATTAACACTCCAAAACCTGACCTGAATCAGCATTCTTTCAAAAATTCCGCAAGCGGTCAATTGCAAACACAAAAACCAAAACAGTTCTGCTCAAATCACTCTGCAAACCAGTCAGCTCTGACGCGAAACATAACCTCGAAACAAAATTTTTTCGTATCTTTGGAAAATTCAACAAATTTTGTCAAATTTATTTGCAGACAACCGAATATGAACCGAAAACAGGAGCTCAGGAAATACAAAGGCCTATTCATTCCGGACGAAAAGAAATCACTAAACCCACGTGGCCGAAAGGAGGAAAAACTACTCAACTGACAAGGGACATCGGACAGGGAGGAAAACCACTCAGATCCTCGGTGGCACAAACGTAAACCAAACAACAATGACGGAAGCAGAGGACGACACACCGCTGCTCCGAAAAAGATTGCAGAAGGTCCATGGGGTCAAATTCATCGCCGCAGCTACCAAAAAAGACAGGAATCTCAGACCGCTCATCAATTTTGTGAAAAAGCGGGATTAGGATGCGATAAAATCCGCCTGCGGACAGTATTGGTTTAATGTCCGCAACAGGCTGCATGTGCGGGAGGACTGTCTGCTGATTGACCAACGCATTGTTATCCCAACACAGCTGCGTCAAACGATACTGGAAAGCCTACACTTGACACACCCAGGGTCGACAGCCATGCTGGATTTATGTGAAAACGTGTGGTTTCCACATATCTACCGATCAATCGTCCAGATGGCGAAAAAGTGCAAACACTGAACAGAGCAAGGTAAAAACCTTAAACAAATAATAGGAAAAAATCATTCATTCCAAATGGATTCGGTCGTAGAACCAAATGAAGAAGTACAATTAGATTTTGCCGGGCCCCTCCCCGATGAATAAAATAAGGACGCTTACATACTCGTTGCTATAGACAAATGGTCAAAATTTCCGACAGCAAAAATTAATTCCAATACTACAGCGGATGTCGCCATAAAATTCATGCAACGGTATATTTCAAATAACGGAGTACCCCGTCGACTATAATGTGATCAAGCACAATGATTTCGAGCAAAGAATTTCCAACTTTTTCGTAACCCAAATCATATTAAGTTACTTTTGCACCGGTAGACTATCATAGAGACATTGGGGTGGTAGAAAGAATGATACAAACATGAAAACGTCGACTAGGGGTTATGAGAATAGATCCAGCAATTACACCATACAAGTTAGCTTCGGACGTTGCTGAGATGATAAAAACTCTGCGCATAACACCACATGGTGTAACAAAATTTCACCTTTTGAAGCACACATGGGCAGAAAACCAAATACTCCTCTGTCAAATTTGGCAACATTTAGTTTACCTACCAACCCTAACTGGAAAAAAAAATAAAACACGCATGTTTAGATCGGAAAAACCTCACGAAGCCACCTCTGCCAGCTGAAATCATGCACGACTTGCAACATTGGTCGGAGGATGAAGTTTCGATCAACCAACGACAACAAATACAACCGCAACCAAAATTGGAGCAGACAAGACATCAAAACAAACATCAGGTGCAAAACGCAAACGTAACATAGCAAGAAGTTTAGATAAAATAAACAATAGGTATAAAGGAATACAAACATCCACCGACAAAAACATTAGCAAACGACTAGAACAAGTAGCAAGAAAATTGATTCGAGTGGCAACTAAATTAAAAGATCACAAAACTTTCCAACAAAATTATAAGACAATCGACGTGAAAATCTTAACATACCAACCACATACAGCATGAATACAAACTTTCTGGAAACAACCTAGACTTTTAAGGAATAGTGGGGTTGCTTTTGTTCCTAATCCTTTAATCTACGGACCGTGTCGACAATCACGGTTGAGTGACTATGTAGCCAACAAATCGGCAAGGAGATCAGGACCTTGTCTTCGTTTTTTAGACATCGAAGACCCGACGGCGGCTCAACATAGTATGTTCCGGGAGGATTAACAAACAGGGCTGACAAGAAAATTGACAAGAAAGGAGCAAACAACGCTAAACGAGCAGAGCAACCAACAAACCAGCCCAACCAAACGGCGGGGCAAACCCATGGCAAAGAGGACGGGTGGACGTCCGTTAACAAACCGCGAGGAATGAGTCTTTCATCATTGAAGACAAGAACAAAAACTCAGACCGCAACCAAGGAAACAACCACCTATAGTGACACGGAGAGTAACAAGTCTTCAAACTCAGAAGCGGCCGAACCATCGCCCAAAAAGGTTAACCAAAAGAAAACACCACAAGCAACAACCTCGACTTCAGCGAACATGGCACCATCGCGTCCCTCCACTCGCCAACGTCAATCAACTCGATAAGCGTTTGGGGACCCCATCCCGATAAACACCATCGAAGAGCCAACCACACACAGAAAGCCGGTGAATTTCTAAATTGATTCGCCATTAGATCAGATATACTCACCGACGAAACCAAGCTTCAAATCGCTCATTCAGGAAATGGGCTTCACGGACAAATCACCCGACTATCAGGCGTGCATGAATTTTCTGGAGGCGATCAGCCCGAAAAACAAGGCGAAACAAACGGACGAAGTTATCGATCTCATTTCGTCAGATGAAATTCCGAACAAAATGGACATTCAATATGTTGAAAATAAGAAAAACAGCAATGAAGCGGACAACACCACAAACAATGATGCCACACAAGAGGAACACGAAAAACTTGAAGGTGATAACAACAACCAAGAAACGATGAAATAGCGAACAATAGGCAAGAAGGAGAAAATGCAAAAACAGTCCTCAAGGGAGCATAAAACTCAAAATTGAAACTTTAAATTTCTTGAGAAGAGAGAGTGTCATCCGGCACGGATCGATAAACTTATCATCGTTGTTATTTATTAATTTGATTATCATATTTATATATATTGTTTGGTCAGTTGACCTTGATACGGCTGCATGCCGACGTAAGTACATGAGCAAGTCTGAGACGATAATTTATGTTTCTGAACAACAGTTGTTTTTATCAAACTCACATAAAGACTAGGTTTATCAATCCGTTCGGATTCATTATAATCACGCTCATACATTGAGGTATGACAGTTATAATAAAAATTCGATGCATTTTGGCGCCATTCTGGTCGAATGTCACAAATCGTACCATCTGGCGAATATTTGTCGTGCCCAAATTTGAGTGGAAAAACTCCATATTTCAAAATTTGTCTCCATTTTTAGTGAAGCTTGTAAGAATACTCACGATACACTTATAAGAAGAAACTGGGAGTATGGTCAGAAAGTCGAGTACCTTTTTTTCATATTCGTCAATAAGTAGACAGATACAAATATTAACCGATGAGAATCAAGATAAGAAAAACAAACACATGCAATCAGAATATATAATTTTGTATTTCTTATGTTAATTTTCATATCTCGATTCTGGTTGGTTAATATAGTATATGTCTAAATTTTGACGTGTCTACTTTATGACCGGTCTACTTTTTGCTACGTAGTCAACAAACTGTTATTTGATTAAGTGATCGTTATGTGAATATGTCGCGACATGATGACGAAGACACGGAATCAAACGTTGCTTCGGACACCGATTGTGGGACACTTACGAGCTTCAAGTTAGAATTGTCGAAAAATCGAGCAAAATATCGTCGAATTGAAGAAGGATTGGTATGTTGTTTTTGCTAGCTGTATAAAACACAGTATGAACGATGAGTTATTAAATGTTTCTTAAGCTATCGGACAATGAGAAGGAGAAGCTGAACCAGCGGCGAGAACGGAACAAGGCAGCAGCTGCTAGGTGTCGCAACAGAAGAAGGGAAACCATATCTCGACTCGAAAAGGTTTCAATCTAATTCAGAAAAAATATCAGATGTTTCCGTCGTCTTGATTATCAAAATAGTTCTTTTCTAGGAAGCAAACGACTGGGAAGATAAAGTACATGATTTGAGATCTGATATCGAAAAACTGACTAAACAGCGTGATCAACTTGAGTTTCTGTTACAAGTTCACAATGCTACTTGCTCCTTAATAAATGATCCCCTGCCCTCTCAAAGATTAGACGAACTTTTATCACAGTCTCTCCCGGCGCCTCCTCGAGCAGCTTCTGCAAACCACGTTCTCACACCCAGCTCTTCGTCTTTGCCTCCTCTGTCAGAGGTTGTCAAAACTGAATCTAAATTAGTACGATACTCTTCAACAAATTATAATGAAGGTATCTTCTATTCGCAATGTTGTAGTGAAAGAGATTATTTGTTTCAGGGTTTGGAGATTCCGGTAACGAAAAACGGGCAGATGTTAGCTTCGCACAGTTTTACTGAGAATACTTTGAAACTGCTCATTTTGAGCACTTCAAATGCGACAGCTGTCAGTCGAAGTGGCGACTTATTAGCACCCACATCGTCGGTGACGGCACCGGCAGCTGTTAAACCTTCATCGCTTACTCTTAACCTCAATGGGTCCCAACCTAACGAAGAGACATTAAATAAAGCAACTTCGAAAGAATCTTCAAAAGTAGGATCACCACCCAATTCATCAAATGAAACTAATTCAGGAAAGGCTGCTACCAAAAACTTTACATTGCCTCTGATCGTGACACCAGTCACACCACAAGCTGACTATAATGGAGGTGAGTTATTGGAGGTCAGGTCGGAATCTACATGCTTAAATTCATTTTTTCTGGTTGTAAATTTACCAACTTATTTGTGGTATAATTTCAGTTTTATACAGCTATTCAACTTGAAAAGTTTTAGCTTATACAAAATTGGCTTAGTGACCTCATATTTGGTGCGGGTATTTTTTTGTTATTTGAGAGAGCTGAGCTTGTAACCTTTCTATGACAACTTTTTTTGGCTCAACTTTCGTAAGATTATTCTATGCTTATTTAATAATCAATAGTCGTTGCGTGGTATATTTTTCCTACCATGAAATTTTTTGAAGAAAAACATGAGAAAATTTCTGTAGATTTAGTTTTTTTTTCCGATATTTAGAAAAAGAGTTTTGTTCAATTTTACACAACTTGAGCGTAGTTTGATACTACAAGACTACATTTTTTCCAACTGAAGTAGCACAAATTTTAGTGCTTTTTTGGTGGCATTCTATAGCAGGAGGCCGAATTAGTTGTTTAACAGCATGTGTTTTGACAATTGATTATTACACTTGTGAGTTCAAGTGTCTTGTAATCGGGAACTAGACTTTTCCCCTGTAAACAAGTTCTCTTAAGAATTTGAGCTTGCCTTATTATTGAACCTTCAGGTTCCTTCCCGCTTGGCTGGAGGTAACGCGGTTGCTTTTGCGACCTAAGGTCTGGGCTTCGAGTCCCGATAGGAACTTGTCTTTAAGTATGTAACAACATGAAAAAAAAAGTTTGGTAAAAATTGAATATCATATATCACTCGACTCATTTTGATGAGCAATCGGGTACTAGACTTTTTCCCCGTAAATAGCATTGTTCACAGGACTCATTCATCTCCTGGACACAGTCATCTACTGGGACTTTCTGTTGCAACATACATATTTTGAGCTTGTTAGCGTTTTAAATATGCTGCCTAATTACACTAGTCATCAGCTTAATATATTATTATAAACTTTCTTTTTTCTAACCTAGCTCGCAAGTAAAAATGTTCATTACAAGTATTCACTTTTTCAAAATTTCACAGTGGTAGAATTGGAAATTACATAAGGTGTGTGCTTTATTTGCGGCTAGTGTTTTGTGCATAGTAAGCTTTCGTGGCTGAGTGGTTTGTGCGTGAGGCTCATAATCTCTAGGTCACAGGTATGAGTATCTCAGACGGAGCCGATTTATTTATGCTAATTCAAGGCTTATTTCTACTTTTTCTGATTGCAAGTTAAAGAGCTGCTTTTTGTCGTCTTCTTGCTACTGTTTGAGAAGCGAAGCTTCGCCTCTTTGTCGAAATTTGCTTTCTATGTTTGTTGTAATTTTACCAACTCGATGTAATGAATATTTGTTTTGTTTCGGCTTAATATGTTTTTTTGTATAGACTTGGTGGCGTCTGATTGCGTCGTTTGATGATCCAAAATTATTTCGGCTTTCATTTTTTTCGGTTAGTTTGTCCTGCTATTTATCGTTTTTAAGAGTCAATGAACGTAGTTCAGACTCTTATATAGGTCGGGTTGATTTTTTCTCAAAAAAGTTTTCAGGCTCAAATTTAATTATTCTCGGTTTGGAATTTGATTTGGTTTCAAAATAACTTAATTTTAAATGTGAAAAGGAAAGCAAACTCCGCTATCGAACAAAAAAAAGTGTAAAGGCCACGAAAAACGTGATCAACTTTTAGTTTCGAAAGTGGAATTTAGTTTTCAAAATAGTGGATTTAGGTTTCATAGGACTCTAAGTTTGTAGGTTGGAAGGTCGAATCCCGTAGGCATCTGGTTCTTTTAACTCAGTGAACGCAGCTAAGACACTTCTATAAGTCATAATGAATTCTTTTTGTTCGCAAAAACTGCTTAAATTGCTTTCATAAAAAAGTGCGGCTCTTTTCCAGTCCCCCCTTTTTGATATTTTCTGAAATTCGATATATGAAAACCTTCCTAAAATGATTTTTCATGTTAATAATTGCATTAAAACGTGTCAGCGTGAACAGGTGAACAAGTTTCTGCAAGATTTATAACATGCAAAAAACCATGTGAACAGTTTTTTTTTGTAATTTTACGAGGGGGGTTGGAAACTGGAAAAGAGCCAAAAGTGCTTCGATACAATTTAATGCAATTTTTATTGCGCCAATATTCGAACTTAATTTCCTTGAGTTAATAAACATTTTACACATGTATACCTGCTGTTTTGACTGACTTAGGTAGAATAACTTTCAAAATAGTGTGCCTTACTATTGGAGGTGTTTTGCAGAGTATGTTTCTAAATATGCTGAGACACCAGCGAATTTGAAAAATTTTTAAGCTATTTTCCATGCGAAATCTCGCGGAAAAATTTGAATCAAATTGAATCAGGCTGGTATTATATTGTAGACTTTTTAACCGCAATTTAAATCGGTAGATGTCGTTAGAGTTTAATGATAGCTGGCTGTCTTATTTTAAGCAAGAAAACATAATTGAACAGCTGGAATTTGAATTTTTTTTGTTGCTTTGGTACAATTTGACGGCAATTTTGTTTAAAGCTTACTGATTTTGATTATTTTAACGGATACTTGGGCGCCCATATTGACAAACACAGAAAGAACGAACCCCGAATAATTATAATTTTGGGTCAAAAGTTCCTAAAAACAAACAAAATCTTAAATTTCAGGCACGGCAGATACCCCATTGCTGGCGACTAACTTTCTCCTCGACAGTGTTCCCAAGTTCACGCCCAACACGCCCCTATTCTGTGCCTCAGTGAGTAGCAGTGGACTACTAGGAACTATGGCCAACACTACTTCCTCATCTCAAATGAGTCTGAGCCAGTTGAAAAACCAGCTCTCAACCGGAGGATGGACTCCTGTTTTCACCACCTCAAATGGACTTGCCGCTCCAGTGACTTTCGCCACCTGTACAGACTCCTTGTTCACGCCCGTGCTCGACGTCAAGAATGAACCCTTCTCGCCTCCATTGAGTTCAACCAGCACAGAGGCGAATAGCATCGCAACTACTGTTTCTGCCGATTGAAGTCAACTTTTAATAAGTTGATGCTTGCTGTCTTCGCACATTGTATTGCTTAGTCTGTTCTATTGTATAATCATTTCGCAGTGTGCTTGAAATAAGCACAGGCGCAGTGCTTTTGTCTGTGATTGTTCAGAGCATCAGTTGGTTCCGATCATCAGATAGTTCCGAGCGTTGGTTTTTGTTGTAGTTCCGAGTACTAAATAATTACCACATAAAAATAGCCCTTATGCGAAGCGAAGAAAATGGTGCTAGAAGAAAAGAGAAGGTAAATACGTTTATAACCCACAGCTTGATAGAATCATGGTAAAGTTTTAATCTATACGTAAAATGCTTCCTAGTTTTATAAATCCCTGGGTTGACAAGCAATGCTTATACTATTCCATACCATTGAAAAAATGCTTGTCATATTCTTCCAGACTGGAAAAATTACATGAAAATGTCATAAAGTTTCGTTAAAATCAAAATCGTTTTTGATTACCAATGCTGTCATTTAACGAAAAAACGCGTTTAACTTTTTCAAAGTACCTGCATACTTTGAAAACCGGTATCTGAAAATTAAATTGGGGGGAAAATTTTATGATACAATTACAATAGTAGTATATGGAAATTTTGTGAAAAAAAAATATCATCCAAAAATATGTATTTTATAATGATCAGAAAGCTGTCGTCACAAATACGAAAATATGCTAAACTTTTATCCAAAACTCCAAGTATGGAATTGTATGATAAGCACTCTTCGTTTATTGAGGTCAACGCGGGTACCCTGGTGAGAATGGTGATGCTAATTTGTCAGCTGAGCTGCTTTTGAATCACAAATTTAACCAGCTTACGCTATAGATTTTTAGTTTAATGTATTTGATTTTTGTTTCGTTGCGTGCAGGTTTCAGTGTTGGGTCAGTCAATCGGATGGAAAAATTATAGGAAAAATATGTATTTACTAACATAATTTTGAAAATTAATTTTAAAAAAATGGCGTGGCCAATCGCTTACACTTGTCATTTCTCGGGGGAGTGGGGGCCCAACTGTTATTCTTGCACCGATTTAAGTTTCATTGTAGCTTCTTCCATTTCTATACTTACTGGTAAGTTGAAGAGAAATGGGATCTCTTTTATTATTTCCCCCTTTATTTCCACCTACCAACGAATTGCCAGCCCTATAAGGGAATAACTCAACAGTTAATCAGATTCGATTTTATGCCTAGTAGCGATTATCACCATTTTACAAAAGGTGGGGGAGGGGAATAGTTTGAGATCCAAGAAATGTCACCACGGTGCTTTTTCTGTTACTCTATTTCACATATATTTCTCAATGTGATGCCCTGCGCTTGATACTGCATCTATGCTGTTGCCAGTGTTGTCCCTACAAAGTATACCATTTTATTATTCAATTCACATACATAAAAACGAAAATAATCGTAATCAACGTCGTCGCAATAAATAGTTACTAAGAATTCGAAATTCTGAATTTAAAAATAGTTTAATCAAAATATAGTATATGTTTTGTACGCTATCTTGATAATAAGCAAAATAAAGTATTTGATATTTGTTTTTTTCTTTAGAATTGAGTTGCACCCAAATTGAAATTACAATTTGTCCGGAATTAACTGATTTCATTACACTTGTGAAAGCAAGTGTCTTGTAATCTGTACTTAGACTTTTTTCCAGACAGCAAATTTTCTTACTAATCTTACTTGCTTTTTGCTTTATTATTGAAGCTCAAGAACTGTCATGTTCGTGACTACTTGGCCTCGAGGAAATGCCGTCGCGTTTGCACCCTAAGGTCTGGAGTTTGAGTCCCGGCCGGAACTTGTTTTTTTTTCAGTATGTTTGCAATTGATTTTTTTTCAGCTAAAAGTTGAATAGTCGGTCTTTCGTTTGTCTGCTCAAATTTTGTTGGCTTCGTTGCCAAATCACGGATTTTGGTTGTGCTGTAAACAATTTTCAATGTACTTGCAAGTGGAAGTGTTGTTCAAGGTAGTTTCAGGGGGACTAAAATTTTTTAAAATCACTTTGTCTCAACTTGTGATTGATAACGATTGTCGGCTTGGTTCCCTTATCACGGATTTTTCTTGTTCTGCAAGCAACTTTCCTTCAAGTTACAATAGAAAGTGTTGTTCAGTGTAGTTTCAGGGGGACTTGAAAATTTTATGTTTTTAAATTTTTTTCTGGCTCTTCTGTTTGCTTAAAGATTTTCGGTTTTGTTGCTTCTTCGTAAGTATGGTTCTGTTGCTGATTACCCTTGCGATAAGCAAAAGTTTTGCAATCGGGTACTAGACGTTTTTTTCATTAATAACTTTGTTCACAGGATTCACCCGGACTGATATACTGGAAACCTCTATCAGCAACAAATTTAGCGCATTTTGTTTATGTTAGTATTAATAAATAGCTGTCCTATTCGAAATTCGTTTTTTTTGTTGGTTGTATTTTTATCAACTCGATTTGTTAATTTTTCATTTTTATTTTTTCCTTCTTTCGACTTGATAGGTTTTTGCCTATAAAAACGGCTTAGTGGCCTCAAATTGCGTCGATAGACGAGAAACAAACGTTTTTTTATGTGCTCACTCTATATTAGCCCAGTCTATATCGGCTTAGTGGCCTCATATTGTTTCATTTGACGAAAAAATAATTTTTTTTTGCGTGAGTGTGTATATTCATTTTTCTTTCAACTTATGTTTTTTTATGTTTTGTATCGCAAGTGACGCAAAGCTCCGCTTCGCCTGTGGTCAGTTTTACCTTGGGCTTAGGTAATATTACCTTAATGTTTCCATGCCCTTAAGTGACTGGTATTTTTTAAGGCACATAGTCCATAGTCAAATATGCGAAAACACGATCCGGCATTTTGAAATCTCGATATCCGACCCATGATTTTTGCGGGCGCGGCGAAATGTACCATATTGTCGTTTGAGGTCGAAATTGTCACTCAATAGATAAAGTATTTATAGATCTATTTTTCTCTATTTGAGGAGGTGCTTTATTTTCCATAAAGTTTTTACTTTGTTTTATTTTCCAAAAAGTTTTTACATTTATGTTTTTTCGACTTGGTTTTTTTCCGTATCAATTTATTTTCTCTAACTTGCAATTCTACGTTTGCTTGCTTTGTATCGATGAGAAGTTCCGCTTCGCCTCTGTCTTATTAATATTCATTGCATGAAGTATTGAATAGCGTCTTTCGTTTGAGATAGAGACAATGAGTAGCAAGTGGTTCTCTTCGGTCTTCTCTTCTGGCACTAACAGATGGCAGAGAAGGGTGTTGAGTGGGCTGGCATTGGGCAGTGCCACAGTCGCCGGAGGAGCAGCACTCACTGTGGGATCCATGGCAGCCGAGGGATTCGAAATACACCCGCCTCATTTCCACTGGAACCACAAGGGACCCATCGACCAACTTGACATGAAGAGGCAAGTCCAAATATTTAAACACTGATACCAGTTTTATCTGAAAAAGTGGGGCTTTAGTTTTCAGGCAGAGCTCAAATGACATTCAATTTATATTATATTTTATCGCTGTAAGCGTTGAATTAAGTTTTAAAGTCAAATTTGTCAAAAATGATTTAGAAAATAGCGCGTAACTTGCGCTCTTTTTCTGTTTTGTAAGAAATATAAATTTTTGAAAGTTATCTCAAATTGCATAATATGCAAAAGTTGTATCTTCAAAGTTTTTTTTATTGAAAAAGAAAGTGATCCAGCAGTGTATAATTTGTTATTCCTAATTGAAAAAAAAATAATTAAGTTTTTCTTACTTGTTTGGCTATATTATTGCTTACTTGGTTAAACTACGCGCCTGGGCTTTACCATAGTTGTCAAATGATGAGTTGATCTTGACAAAATTTGAGATGTTCGCCAATGAAGCTTGGAGACATGTCATCATTGTGTTGTAGTGTGAGGCGTGGATATGAAGTGTACAAGCAAGTGTGTGCTGCGTGCCACTCTATGAAGTACATGTACTACAGGAATCTCGTCAATCAAACTCACACTGAAGACGAGGCCAAGGTAACTTCAATACGCTCACATTCTGTCCCACTTTTACTAGGAGTAGTTGTAACTCGCCCCTCTAAGCACAGAAAATACATGGTTGCCTTGATTCTTACAATGAACTGGATATGGATTATAATTTATAAATTCTACCTCTAAATAAAAAAATTCGTAAAATTAGTCTTATAAAGTGTTAAGTACACATATCACGATTGATTATGATTTTAAGGCGGAAGCAGAGGCCATAGAAGTAGTGGACAACGACCCTGATGATCAGGGCAACCCAGTGACGAGGCCAGGCAAGCTGAGTGACCGATTCCCGGACGCCTTCCCCAACGAGGAGGCGGCCAGATACGCCAACAATGGAGCATACCCGCCAGACCTCTCACTCATGGTCAACGCCAGGTGAGAGAACATCGCGCTCTATTTACATCATACTTTTCGAATTCAATCATTTCTTCATTTGCATACTTGTAAATATTTCTATTCGTTGTTGTAAAAGTTCGTCTTCTAAGCTTCGGGTCACATATTGCTTTACGCTGAAGGAAAAAGTGGTTGCTTTGCATGCGATAATAGGTTGATAAAAGTAACGATAAAAGCATACGGTTCGTGCTGGCTTAATGGTGCTCTCTCATACGATTCAGATTTTTTTTAAAGTCATATAACTAGATGTTGTTTGGAAACAATTTATTATTATGATTATTATTATTATTAATCAATTTTGTAACTGCAAAGTTTGATGCTATTTTAAAATGTTTCTCTCCATCAAATGATTTGTGTGTTCTGTTCAGACATGGAAACGAGGACTACGTGTTTGCCCTGCTGACCGGCTACTATGACCCCCCAGCTGGAGTGGAGCCACACGAGGGACAGTACTTCAATGCATACATGCCAGGCAACTGGATCTCCATGGCACCCCCTCTCTACAACGAAATCATCGAATACGAAGACGGTGGGTGTCTTCCGACTTCATTTGTATCATGTCACATCCTGACATGTCGAGAATACTTTTCGAGGATCCTATGAAATACTATAACACACTTGAGAAATAAAGAAATTGTGAGAAAAAATTGAATGTCCCACATTTCGCCCCTTTTAAATCTAGTGGCACATTTCGCCCCTCACTTATTTCACCCCTAATAATTTCACACATTTCGTCCTCGCACGTTTTGCCCCTAACTTATTACACAGTTAATCAACGCCGCTTTCTTAATGTACATTTTAGGGGCGAAATGTGCCAATAATTTATGAGGGGCGAAATGTGTGAATACCATAAAAAATAGTAGCTTTTGGACATTTTGGTCGCCTATGGCTAATTTTTTTTGCAGCCCTCTTGATATTTTTATGTGGTCGTAATTTGAGTGCGATAAAATCGAAGTTCCCAGTAGTAGTATATGTTGGAGTTGATCAGAGGGGGTTGGTGCCTGCGGACCCCATGTATTAATATAAGTTATAGGCATCCGGTCCGCAGTTACCCCCCCCCCCCCCCTGGTCACCATCATATACTACCCCTAGTCATGATTTAAGGTGTGATTGTGAATTGACCGATTCTTGGGTTTTCTTGTGTTTGTCAAAAAACTTAAGCAGAAAAGATCTTTTTTGTTTTTCTGCCTTTAGACCATTTCTGCTTGTAAAACATTCTGTCTCCATTTCTGTCTGCTTTTATTGTTCTGCCTCCGATACAATTAAGATGGGCTGAGTGTAACTACACAGAGAGGACACAATTTCATGTTAATAATGTAATGGTAGTATTTGATGAATATATTTGTTTGTTTGTTTAAGGAACACCAGCCACGCAGTCTCAGTGTGCGAAGGACGTGGTGACCTTTTTGAGATGGTCGGCTGAGCCCGAATTCAACGCCAGAAAGCGCATGTTCATTAAGGTCAGATACCGTTTGTAAAACAGATAAGATAACACAAGCGGCAATCAGTCTCTGAAGGAAACAAAATTGCTGTTTTAGTTTGCTTATAATTCCAAACTTTCAGAGATGTTCAGTAAAAAAAGGCTGTTTGATTGAAAGTTTTTTAACGACGGGTTTTCGAAAAACCGCCTTATCATACGAAGAGATCCGCCTTATCATACGATGGCTGAGAAAATTCATTACTTCTTGGCTTATGTGGATTTTGTTTGGTTGCACAAGCGAACACTAGTGTTATATAATTGACTTTTCCCTTATACAAAGGAGCAGGATGTGAATTAATTATCAGTAATCATTAACGTAATCTACTTCTACCTCTACATTTGATATCAAAAACGAAGTCAAATGCATTAACAAAATTTGCAGATATGCGTTTCGCTTGTTTCCAGTTGACTGATTGCAATTTAGCGTCTTAATCTTCTTAGATATATGTTAGTTAGCAAAGGAACTGTTAGTTTGAAAAGGAACTGAAAACAACAAGCAAAATCGATTTGATCAAACTAATTTCATTAAAAAAATTATGTATAATAAAAACATGTTCTGTTTCAGGCTGTGACGCTTACAACGGCATGTCTAGTGTTAGCGTATGCTTTCAAGATGAGAAAATGGTCCATTCTCAAGTCAAGAAAGACATACTATCATGACCCGAAATCAGGAAAGATCCTCAAGTAAACTTTGTCACCGAACAGCACGAAAACAAAAGCACTGAAATAGAAGATTTGAAGTTGAACACTTTTAAGTGAAATATATTGTTTAACATTTTCTCGTCTCGTTTACTTCGCTGAATTTGAGACTCAGAAGTAGAAATGTTTTGACTGACTGTTTATAGATTAATTGAATTGGAACATCTGCTAAGCGGAGAGATATACTAATGTGCGAATTAAATAATTATATAAGAAATGTCTTAAAAGCATGCTGTAGAGCTAGCCGAAGACATTTATGTAGGGTTTTGATCAAGTAGGGATTGATCGAATGATGGTTATTTTCCAATATAATATTCATCCGAAAAATATAGCCGTACAATATTCACCCAAATCGAGTTATAGGAGAGATAATAAGGAGTTTCCAGGAAATAACATTAAGTATAGCCTAGACTTATACAAAATTAACAGTTTTATGAGAGAAAATTGATTGAAAGTATATTAATTTAGTTAATTAACGGCATTCAAAAGTAATCCTACTTAAAAATTTGCGAACTATTTTTATTTTTGTGTTTGTTATTTACGGTTGGTGTTGGGAGGGTGGGGGGTCTGTACAGTTGATCCCTTTTTTCATTCAAACCAGCCCGAAATGTTGACTAAATAGCGCTTTAGTGCTTTCTAAATTTTTTGCATACTATGGTATTATCTGAAAGCAGGTTTTTTTTTATACAAGCATAGCTTGTGTTATAGTATGAACTCTCTTTTTTTCCAACCTAAGTCGCAAATATTGTTGCGATGCAATTGTTGCGACAATATGTTCATTTTGATCCAGCTATTAAGTACAGCCAATGTTAAGGATATTAACACAGACTATTATATTGCAAATAGCACTTTAGCTACAAGGTATCATGGATCTGTAGCGTAGAGTAAAGGAAGAAGACCCGCAACAAAATAAGAGGGTTCAAACCTGGGCAGGGTCGGATCTTTGAAATGAACTTTTTCGTATACTAGTGGAAATGCGTCCGCTCTATCAAAATGAGTCATGTTAGTTGGTAAATTCTTTTTTTTTTCAAATTGACTGCTAATGCGTCATTATTAGCTTGTGTCACTTAGCAATTATGTATACACATAATTGGCGATGGTCACTAAAGAATTTTTGTAGACTCAAAGTTTTACTCATTCAGTTGTTCCCAGTAGCGTTATCGGTCATATTTTGGCTTGTGTATGCGAAATGCAATATCGCCTCTGTGTAAAAAGAAGACAAATATCATTTTGAACAGCAAATTGTAAAAAGGCCACAAAAAATCTGAGTGACTTCTAGTTTCGAAATGCTTAAAAATTTTTGATTTCTCAGCATAAAAAAAAACAATTATCAGTTTATCCAGTTTTATCTAATAAAATTTATATCTTATTCACATCTTAATGTTCTAATAAAATTCATTCACAGTTTTTTTCTTGAAACTCGGAGAGATTTAAGGTCATATACTTTTTTCTGTGAAATTCGAAAAATGTAAAAAAAAGTCAGTATTGAAATTGAAAAGAGCTTTCTGATGCATATTTTGCTGACGTGAAATCAGGGAACCCGCATAAGTTTGATATAGATCTAGTGATTCAACTGAAAAATGTTTTTAATTTTGACGGTAATGAACGTAGTGAGTACTCTTGTATAGGTCTTTGTGATTTTTTGTGTTTTTTCTTTCAAGAAAAAATCTTAGTTTGTTAGCGCCCAAATTTGATTTTTCGCGGTTCGACTTGTGATTTCTATTTGAGTTCAGTGCATTTCCTATGATAAAATGAAGGCAAAGTTCACTATCGAACAGTAAAAGGGTAAAATTTACGAAAAACGTGATCGACTCCTAATTTCGAAAATGGAAGTTTTTTATCAGATTTCCCTGGGAAATAGAAGTTTTACCTTTTGGTCCAGTTTTCTCATATTGGGTTAAGTTCAATGAAAAAGGAATCATCATAAATTGTTCTACAAAGTCAAAAAGTTTTAAGGTCATCTATTTTTCTATTGAAATTCAAAAGTTGAAGGTTTTTAAAAAAAAAACAAGTCAGTTTTTTTTCAGTTTCCTTGCGTTCATTACTCTTCCAACTGTCAGTTGGTTGAACCAATTGCATTGATTTTAGGGAAAAAGTTTTAATATTGCCCAACAACGATCAATAGTTTGTTTGAGTTCCGATTTGTTTCAATTGCGAATTTAAATTCTGATTAAGTTTCAATGAATGTAGTGAACACAATTAAATAGGTCTTAATGGTGTTTTAATCAAAATTTTAAGGAAAAATTTTTACAAATTTGATCGCGTTGTTTGGGTTTTGAAATCTTTTTAAATTCGGCTTTTTTCTTTTGTTTACACACGCAAATCTTGTGTTATAGTTTAACTTCTTTTTTTTCCAACGTAAGTCACAAATATTGTTGCGACAAAATTTGTTCATTTTGATCAGTAACCAGCTATCAAGTACAATCAATGCTGAGGATATTAATTCAGATTAGTATATTACACATAGCACTTTAACTTCAAGATGTCATGGATCTGTAGCGTAGAGGTAGAGAAGGAGACCCGGAACAAAATAGGAGGGTTCTAACCTGGGCACCTCCGCTCTTTAAATTGAGGCATGCTAGTACGTTAATTTCTTTTTTTTTTCAAAATAACTGGCACTGCTTATGCATCGTAATTGGCTTGCTTCACTTAGCAACTATGTAGACACATAATTGGCGTGCGTCACTTATAAAAAATTTTAAACTCAAAGTTTTACTCATTCAGTTGTTCCCAGTAGCGTTATCGGTCATATTTTCGCTTGTTTATGCGAAATGCAATATCGCCTCTGTGTAAAAAGAAGACAAGTATCATTTTGAACAGCAAATTGTAAAAAAGCCACAAAAAATCTGAGTGACTTCTAGTTTCGAAATGGTTAAAAATTTTTGATTTCTCAGCATAAAAAAAACAATTGTGAGTTTATTCAATTTTATCTAATAAAATTCATATCTTATTCACATCTTATTGTTCTAATAAAATTCATTCACAGTTTTTTCTTGAAACTCGGAGAGATTTAAGGTCATATTTTTTTTCTGTGAAATTCGAAAGTTGTATAAAAGTCAGTATTGAAATTGAAAAGAGCTTTCTGATGCATATTTTGCTGACGTGAAATCAGGGAACCCACAGAAATTTGATATAGGTCTAGTGATTCAACTGAAAAATGTTTTTAATTTTTGGCGGTAATGAACCTAGTGAGTACTCTTGTATAGGTCTTTGATGTTTTGATTTTTTTTCTTTCAAGAAAAAATGTTGAAGTTTGTTGGCGCCCAATTTTGATTTTTCGCGGTTTGACTTGTGATGTTTTTTGAAGTTCAATGCATTTCCTATGATAAAATGAAGGCAAAGTTCACTATCGAACAGTAAAAGGGTAAAATTACGAAAAACGTGATCGACTTCTAATTTCGAAAAGGGAAGTTTTTTTATCCGATTATCTGGGAAATCGAAGTTTTACCTTTTGGTCCAGTTTTCTCGTATTGGGTTACGTTTAAGGAAAAAAGAATCATCATAAATTGTTCTACAAAGTCAAAAAGTTTTAAGGTCATCTATTTTTCTTTTGAAATTCAAAAGTTGAAGGTTTTTCAAAAAAACAAGTCAGTTTTTTTTTCAGTTTCCTTGCGTTCATTACTCGTCCAACTGTCAGTTAGTTGAACCAATTGCATTGATTTTAGGGAAAAATTCCTAATATTGCCCAACAACAATCAATAGTCTGTTTGAGTTCCGTCTATTTGTGATAGTCTATTTGTCTCATTTGCGAGTTAAAACTCTGATTAAGTTTCAATGAATGTAGTGAACACAATTAAATAGGTCTTAATGGTGTTTTAATCAAAATTTTAAGGAAAAATTTTTACAAATTTGATCGCGTTGTTTGGGTTTTGAAATCTTTTTAAATTCGGCTTTTTTCTTTTGTTTACACACGCAAATCTTGTGTTATAGTTTAAATTCTTTTTTTTCCAACGTAAGTCACAAATATTGTTGCGACAAAATTTGTTCATTTTGATCAGTAACCAGCTATCAAGTACAATCAATGCTGAGGATATTAATTCAGATTAGTATATTACACATAGCACTTTAACTTCAAGATGTCATGGATCTGTAGCGTAGAGGTAGAGAAGGAGACCCGGAACAAAATAGGAGGGTTCTAACCTGGGCACCTCCGCTCTTTAAATTGAGGCATGCTAGTACGTTAATTTCTTTTTTTTTCAAAATAACTGGCACTGCTTATGCATCGTAATTGGCTTGCTTCACTTAGCAACTATGTAGACACATAATTGGCGTGCGTCACTTATAAAAAATTTTAAACTCAAATTTTTACTCATTCAGTTGTTCCCAGTAGCGTTATCGGTCATATTTTGGCTTGTGTATGCGAAGTGCAATTTCGCCTCTTTATAAAAGGAAGGCAAATACCATTTTCGAACAGCAAATTGTAAAAAAGTCAGAGAAAATCTGAGTGACTTGTAGTTTCGGAAATGGTTTTAAATTTTTGATTTCTCAGCAGAATAAAACAGTTATCGGTTTATCCAGTTTAATCGAATTGGGTTAATTGTTCCAATAAAATTCATTCACAAAATAATCATGAAACTCACAGAGATTTAAGGGCTTATCTTCTTTCTGTGAAATTCGAAACTTATAAAAAAAAGTCACTATTGACTTTTGTTTCCTTGCGTTCAATGACAATTTTCAAACTCTAAAAAAGTTTACAAGTATTGTGCAAAAAACGTTTTTTGTTGATTTTCATTCATTTTGTGATAACAAATGTTGCCTATTTTAACTAATTCACTAATTTTATACGCGTTTGTATAGTTCTCTCGAAACACCTCTCACTAACATTGACATTTCTTTGAGGACCTTAAATGCTGTATTTTTTTTAAAGTGGTCAGATCCTTTTTAATATCTGGGTTTTATATCACTAAACGTCTGCATATTAGATTTTCAAAAACTTCTTTAACACAGCTTTGTACAAGAGAAACTCGATGCTTTCTCTCGTTGCATAAGAAATGAAGCTTTCTGAGTGTAAAGTTATTTTGTCACTGGCTCATCAAAATGCCAAAACAAATTAAAACATACTGATGCTTTGTTTTGAACTGTCTCCATTTTCTTTTTGAAATTAGCTGGTCAGTAAAGAGCTGGTCGAAAATATTTTGAACCAAAAAAAATAACCCCCTAAAATCAATTTAGTAAGGAGATCATCCAGATGGTTGAAACAATTTTTTAAAATCTATT